CAAACACAAAATTTCGTGGGTGTACACTAAAGCTCTAGTACGTACCTGTGTGTGTTACTGTTAAAAAGATTGATTGAAATCCAAATTGGAATAGAAATCGTCTTCATTGAATAAGCTAGTTGGTTCCTATAAGCTAGTTGGTTCCTATAAGCTTGTTGGTTCCTATAGGCTTGTTGGTTCATATACGCTTGTTGGTTCCTATAAGCTAGTTGGTTCCTATAAGCTAGTTGGTTCCTATAAGCTTGTTGGTTCCTATAGGCTTGTTGGTTCCTATACGCTTGTTGGTTCCTATAAGCTAGTTGGTTCCTATAAGCTGTTCCTATAAGCTAGTTTATAAATTAAGCTGAACAATTTTGCCTTGAGATAGAATGAGGCTCCGGATGCACAGAGATATGTAGATATCCCAGCTAGAGGGGTCAGCAGGATAAAACAAATAATATCTCCAACAAGGTTACGCTGATCATCTTCAACAGATGGGGCACACAGCCAGGTCACAAATGGACGCGGATGCCTGAATGATCATTTTATTAAAGGGAATGTAAGCTTAATTTCAAGTGAACCACCATTTATGAAGTTGCATTACCGAATCACAACCAATAAAAGCTATCTGATATTTTATGTGTCTTGATATCAGATGTTTTCATGTACCTTGAGCTCAGTTATTTTTATGTACCTTGAGGTCAGATATTTTTATGTACCTCGAGCTCAGATATTTTTATGTACCTTGAGATCAGATATTTTTATGTACCTTGAGATCAGATATTTTTATGTACCTTGAGCTCAGATATTTTTATGTACCTTGAGATCAGATATTTTTATGTACCTTGAGATCAGATGTTTTTATGTNTGGGGGGGGGGGGGAAATGAAAATTGGCAATGATAAGGCCAGCTTAACTTCTAAGGGAAATAAAGATTTTCTAAAGGGAAGATTTTTGAAGAAAATATAAACCCCTGTTCATGTACCTTGAGATCATATATTTATGATGACAGAGTTCACAAGTATCATTGTTAACCGTTGAAAGCCATTTCTCAATACAAGTCCTGTGAACCAAGGCAACAGAACCTGATCAAGAAAATTTAAAAAAATTTCATTTTAAAAGAAAAAAAATTTCATTTTGTCTTTTTAAAAAATTTGCTATAGCCTGCATTTACAGAGGAGTATACAAAAAAATTTAACTGNTCCAACTCCTTCACCTGAACACTGACAAGGAGATATCAACGCTTCAACTCCTTCTCCATCCCCCCTTCCTTCACCTCTACACTGACAGGGAGATATAAACACTCTCCATATCATACCCCCCCCCTTTCTTCACCTGAACACTGACAAGGAGATATCAAAGCTTCAGCTCCATCTGCATCGTGGCAGATTCTACAGAATATTCCAGAACTTGTTCTAGAAAAGTTTCTTGCTTCTAGGGTAGACCAATCCCCTGAGCTCCCTGAGCTCCCTGGACTCCCAGTACTCCCAGGACTCCTTCCACTCTCAGATACAGACCTCAACCTAAAAACAATAAAAACATTTTCAACAACAATTATGGACACGTTCTTTTACAGGTAGAAACGGGCCAGCATTAAATTAAAATATTAAAAATCGGCCGAAAAGTCCATATTATCTAAAAGGTAGAATAAAGAAGACGACATTTTTTTAGCATCGTTTCACCTCTTTTCTTTGTTGCTTGCCCTCAAATGAGATTTAAGTCTACAGTCTCTTCCTAAAGACGAATACAGAATTGTGTGATCTAATTTTTTCGAAATAAAAAATTAGTTTATTAAATTAAATTTGTGAGGTTTAAAGTGGTACAACAACCATTCATTTAAGGAAGACGATTGAATATCATTATCCACTGCATTGTCCCTGAAGAATTGATGTCTGTATATTCCGTCCCATCCCGAACTACTGTTCCAACTATCTGGTGTTCCAAGAAACCAGTATTACGCATGTTTAATCCTCCGCCCTGTACGCTAGGAGAGGATTGACGCATGTTTAATCCTCCTCCCTGTACGCTAGGAGAGGATTGACACATGTTTAATTCTCCTCCCTGTACGCTAGGAGAGGATTGACGCATGTTTAATCCTCCTCCCTGTACGATAGGAGAGGATTGACGCATGTTTAATCCTCCACTCTGTACGCTAGGAGAGGATTGACGCATGTTTAATCCTCCACTCTGTACGCTAGGAGAGGATTGACGCATGTTTATTCCTCCTCCCTGTACGCATGGAGAGGATTGACGCATGTTTAATACTCCTCCCTGAACGCTAGGAGAGGATTGACGCATGTTTAATCTTCCTTCCTGTATGCTAGGAGAGGATTGACACATGTTTAATCTTCCTCCCTGAACGCTAGGAGAGGATTGACACTTGTTTAATCTTCCTCCCTGAACGCTAGGAGAGGATTGACGCATGTTTAATCTTCCTCCCTGAACGCTAGGAGAGGATTGACACATGTTTAATCTTCCTTCCTGTACGCTAAGAGAGGATTGAAAACTTAAGCTTGAATCCTCTAAATCCATTCTTCACAATTCCTTGAGAGGGTTGGAATCTAAAGATGTCTCTGAAAATATAGATAGAAAACTACGAATTAAACCATTTGCTTGAAGAAGTCATACAGAAATTTGAGAAGGAAAAAGAATATAGGATTAAAAAGTAGAAATCAAATTTGGATTAAAATAAAGAAACGGAGTATACCCAGCAGAATAAAAAAATAAAAAGCATGGTGGAAAAAAATCAAATTTAGCAAATAAAGAGGATTGAATAAAGGCTTAGAAAAATCTGGGTGAATGACATAATTTCCTAGATTTATTTTCTAATTCTAATACAAACTATTTTTTTTAGAGAATTCCAATAATGCTTGTAAGTTGTAATATATGAAGTTGTGGCAAATGATAAAAATTTCAAAATTTGTGATCAACAGTGCCAGATACGCCTTAAAATAAAATGCGAGCTTTTTTCAGCAAATTTTTAACTTGATATTTCTCATTTGTTTCTCTTTAAAACAAGTTCGTACTGCTTTGATTTTTCCACATATATACTGCACTTACAATCATGTACAATAGTAGGCGATTATATCAATTGAATAAAAAACTTCTTTTTGATTACTTTAAACTAAAAAGCTTTTTAACAATCAAAACTTAAATAAATAAGTCGTCTTTATTGTATTGATATTCACCTACCACTGTATATAACTCAATGTAACAGAAATAGCTATAAACAAAATTGTAAAATATAATTCATATGTAGATTTCTTTAAGACAAAAAATAGGGAGTAAAATGCCCAAAACCAAAATTGAATTTCTTAACGGAATGTCTATCGTTCACAATATCTAAAAATGTACTGTACAAATGTGTATTCCAGTGTACTGTAGTGCACCTATACACTCTCATTTGTACATAATGAACTACGTACAATTGCACAGACCTTGAATAATTTTCAAATATGATACAGAGTTACCCACAAAGGATGAGCCTTTAGAGACGAATTAATTCAGTATTGTTTCTTGCACGTAGGGTTCCCTGTCGTAGGGTTCCCTGTCGTAAGGTTCCCTGTCGCCGTAAAATAGTTTTTTTTTTTTTCATTTTCAGATTTAACCTTAATATTAATATGATCACATTTAAAGAGTTTACAGTCGTCATTATAGTCTCATGTTTTGTGAGTAGACCTGTATCATCATGAATTCAATATCAAATCCTCTTCTTAACAGTAAAAAGAAAACGAAAACATATTCCTTAATTCTACCCTATAGGAAAATTGTCAGTTTGTTATGTACTTTTATAGAAAAAAACGCCTGAAATGCCCTGTAAGTCAAGTTATAAAAATTATATGCATGATAATTTAAGATCGCCTGCACAATCTATATAATCATATGATACGAAAAAATTATCAACAATAAGTGATAGTTATGTCTATTTTTCTGATAGGTCATCAAAAACATAAACTATATGATACAAAGCTTATCCTGCAACCTAGGAGTCGACAAAGTCCTCAACCCCAGCACCAACAATCCAAAGCTACGATCCCACCAAGACTGAGGCCTAGATGTGAGCGAACCTGCTGTCAAGATGCTGCTACCTGCATGCTCTCTATATGAAGCTCCAGCTGTTCTCTATTCTTCATAATTCTGATAACCAATTATAATCAATAGTACATGTTATTTTCCAACCTTTTAAGGAGCCTCTAAAGGAAACTATTTTTAAACTTTTATATTTCAAATAATTCAATAAAGTTATCGAACAGCCGTTTTTCTTTATATTTAACTGACTTTTAAGTCAACACATACTTCTCGAAAAAGCTATATAGATATTGATAAAATCATCTACTTTATTTTTCTCGTATGTTCCCATGGCCTCCTACATGTGAAGATTAAAGAAGTACCATTGATATATATACAAGGTGTCCCTCGAAACATGGCATCTGAAAAATAGTTTTAAATGTCGTCTTTTATATACTGTATTAAGGTATTTAAGACTTTTTGCAGTTTATTTCGTTAGAAAATCTTTTGCTTAAATACATTTTACTATAAAATGATTCTCATATATTATTTTTACCATTGTCTTTGGTATCAATCAACATAACAAATAATAAAAGAAGACATTCTGAACTATTCACCAACTGTCATGTTTAGTGGGACACCCTGCATTAGCAACAAAGGATGAAACTTTAAAGATGACCTAATAATCTATATATCTATAAAATAAAGCTCTTCGCTCATACAGGGTGTGCCAATAAATAAGTGACAGTGACGAATTCGATATCGTCTTTGTTATGAATTAGCTATAAACACGAAGACTTTGTGTATCGCCTGTACAGCTCGTCTGGTGAATTATAGCTGAATTTGTGATAAAGTTACGCATCTCTTTTGTATTAAAAATAGACAATAATTGTTAGTGAACATTTTCAGATATCGTCAAATAATTATTCTGAGGTTCTATGGAATGGGATCTTAGGCGATGAAGAAGAGAGGGGACCAGAAATCTTCTGTTTAATCTTAGGCACAGAAAAAATATCGCACAAATTAATGTATTATCTTACTCTTCAATTGATTTATGGGGATTTTGCTCAAAAAAATTATCCACCATTAAAGATAAATTTCATAGAAAGTTTCGTTAAAAATGCGAATTAAAGGACGACATTTTACTTAGTTGATTACAATAGGTTTGAGGCATAAATTATCGGAGGATTTAAAGAGACGTAAAATATAAAATACATTTATGAGAAAAAGCTAAGACATATAAAGACGACTTTTAGACTCAAGTTACGATTAAACAGTTCAAAAACTTTAAAATACCGCAATTGAGCCGAGAACAAGCAGATTGTCTAATTATGAATTATGTCATCTTCAAATTCCATAGTTTTATGTAAACAAATTCTATGAATAATTCTGATCGATTCATGTCCGTTGGTGGCAATCACAGCTCCAACATGTATAATACTGAGCTGCAATCAATGTGTAGGAGGATCACGTTTTAGATTTCCAGCAAATCCCAAAAGAAAAAAATTGTGGCTGAAGGCCCTTCATATAGATCTAGAATATCTCGCACCAATTCCGTCCAACTTTCTTACGTTTGTGTTTCAATTTTTTGATAAAATTTAATTAAAACCTTATGGCACGCAATAAATGCAATTGATTATTGCGCAATTCCTTTCAACAAAAAAAAATTCAATTTAAACTTTGGTAGTGGCATACAATAAACTTCACTTCACAAACATTTTAGTCTCAAATGCTAAGAAAATTGAATTTAAACTTAATCTTTTGTTTCATAATATTCATTTGCAGCATGATAACCAGAAAACTCTGGCATATGAAGACGACAGTTTAGACTCGAGCAGACCCATGTAACAGGACAAGTTAATAAGTTACTAATTAATTTTGTTTGACTTGTAACGACATCAAATACTTTGTGATGTTGTCTTTCTGTACCATAGTTTTCTGGTTCTCATTGTAGCAAAATATCTATTGATTTAATGAACCTAGTACAATTTAAACCAAAAAAAAGTTTCCATTTTAATGTTTATCCAATGTGAACAAATGAAAAATGTATCATATTAATTTAACCACAAGAAACTTTAAAATTTGAAAACTGTTGAAACAACAGATATTAATTTCCATTCTTGTATCTGCTGCATAAATTTGTAAGTCGAACAGTTAAAAATATTGATTTTTAGATATGAAAGCAATTCCGATGCACGCAATTCCGTGCAACTCCGCGAATATTTAATTGCTACCTTTTTTGCAATTATAGCGCAATCGCGCGCAATGAAATAGCGCAAGGGGAAGCAACCATTGCACGCAATTCCGCGCAACTGAACTCCGATTGGAAACCCTAGCTGTGGCCCTTGGAATTCTTCGGCACATAATTGTTAGAAAAAGTTAGATTTTTTATATTCCAGAGATAAAATAGTTGCCAATAGAAAAGTAATAGGACTGCAGAAGTAATTTCAAGTCACCCTTCATATACAGTGTGACATGAACGATTCACAATTGAACCCTTTAAACCTTTAACTAAATAACTATGAGGAAGGTATTGCTTAGTACGTGTTAAATTCATAGATAAATAAATAAACATAGATAGCTTATGAACGCAAAATCGCCAAGAATTGTACAGTCCGCGAACTCATACTTCTAGGGGTCAAAGTGAACTTTAATGATAAGCGGGGTGGTTTGGTGTTGTAATGGATTTCATAATGGAGTGTAAAATAACTCCGGGAATGGAACTATTTGAACAACAATATTTCACTGAGCAATATATCATATTGACGAGAACTAACTTAAATTTCTCTCTACAGAACTCATGTACACCACAAGTACTCAATGACATAAGAACAGCCAATTTTCACAACCGACCTAGGTAATCTATATAATAGGAATATCCAAAGACTTTGCTAATTAAAGATAGCGCATCAGAAAATCTACGCAAATTTAACGCATTTTCTGGGGTGGTGAAAGATCGTAATAAATGTCGTCTTCTCATGAAATTCTGTATATATTTACCAAGCTGACGTTTCATAATGTCGTCTTTTATAATTGTTAGGAATGAAAAGTTATTTAAAAACAAAACAAGGAAGACAATGAACATAATTTACAGAATTCATCACTTTTTAAGTTGAAATAACGGCGATATCTTCCTCATTGTTACCCAGATAAATGTTTAACTATTTAATAAAAAATATATTTCCCAGTTTTATTTTCACCAATGTATTTCTTTTTAAAATCCTCAAATTATTCGTGCCTCAAACCTTTTGTAATCAACTTTAAAAGACTTCTAAGTAAAAGGTCGTCCATTAATTCGCATTTTTAACGGAACTTTCTGTGATATTTTTTTTTTTAATGGTGGATATTTTGAAACAAAATCCCCATAAATCAATTGAAGAGTAAGATTAATACGTTAAGTTATATTAAGCGATACTAATTCTTTGCCTAAAATTAAACAGAAGACGACATTTACAAAAAATATTTACCGTTTATAATATCGGATATTTCTGGCCCCCTCTCTTCTTCATCGCCTAAAATTCCATTCCAGAGAACCTCAGGAACAATATTTGACGATATCTGAAAATTTTCACAAACAATTATTGT